TTGCGTTTTCTTCTTCTTATACTAGTTGCAGATCTTCTCCAACTGCTTCTGGGTTACATTCTTCACATACATGGTCTTCACTGAACTCCTTTTGCAGTCTTGTACATATTTTTCTTTTTAATTCCTTGGGTATATCAAACTGAATATTAATCAACTCATCTAAGTACTTGTTTAGTGATTGAATATCTGTCTCTGTTGGGTTTGTTGCTTGCATGCTCCATATCACAACTGATTTGGAAGTATAATTGATTCTTCCCTTTATCCGGATACCTTTGTTAAGAATCATAACATAGTTATTTAAAAACTGTGCTATTTCATCTTCATGGTGTGCTTGACCAATATCTGGATAATTATTGTTGTTGACTCCTATTTGACATAATTGTATTGCGGTTTGTATGACTTCTCCCCCCTCAGCAAATACTGGAGTTGTGGCGAAAATCTTAAAAAAGCATTCCTTCTTTCCTAATTTCTTTGATGCATACTGACTCACGGCTCTTCGTATGTTTGAGGGAAAGTATTGAAAAATGTCTGTTCCCCGAAAATATATACAACTGACTAATCGTGATTGAAACAACATATATGCTTTTAACGGGTTTGCTTCAGGAAGTATAATTACTTTTGGTCCTTGATAGATTCCTTCAATTGGATATATACTTGTTTGCTTGTCTGCTTCTGTACAATTAACTACAAACTTGAATTCATGATTGAATCTTGTTTGAGTTAATTTTGTTAACTCTTCTTTTTGCTGTTTACTTTGTATATTACCAATTGTTAATGGCCTTAGTGTAGGAATTGATCATATCACTTGCATCTGTATTTGTGGTGCCGTAACTGGCATTTTTGCTTTTCCTGCATATGTATTTTGAAATTTTTCTAGAGCTTGTTGTGCTTCAAACAGACTAGAAAATTTCTGATGTATAATATTCTTGTTACCTATGGTGTGAACTGCAACTTCACTCCACTGTGTATATATTCCTCTGTTTTCTCCTGTGAAGATCACATAATACGTTTTAGGTTTTTCTTCTTCATCGAATGCTTTTTCTAATTTCTTCGAAAATCCAATGGATTCTTCTTTCTTTTCATTTTTTGTCTCTGTTGGGAACAGGACATTTCTTATTGCTTTAATCTCGTTTTCTACTTGCATGAGTTGTTTTCTTAACTCTTCTGCTTGCTTTTCCAGTTTTTGCATGCTTTCCATTAGTAATGGTTTAAGTGCTTCCATTCTCTTGAATGTATCTGCAAGAAAATTTTCGTTACTGGAAATATAAAGCGAAATATAATCATATTGCTGTGCCTTTAAACTCCATCATAAAAGTCGTCCTTTGTTATAAGATTCTTTTATCTTATATTTTGTAAAATCTTTTGTATAGAGACTATCGGTTTGAAAAACAAATTAAACTGGTTGCAAATCTAATTTAAATTTTTCCAAAGCATTGATAAAAGCTAATGTTTCTTTTTCATGTGTTGTGTAATTACGTTCTGCTGATTTAAATGTTCCTGAGACCCATTTGGATAATAATAAGTCGTTACCTTCCTTTGTTTTCTTTCGTAAAAATGTTTTTACTTCAGATGGTTTATTGTTTGTGATAAACTGTTTAAATTCTTCGTATATATCTGGAACTGCTTGAAGGATTGCTCCCCAAGTATCATGACTTGCATCGGTATTTAAAATAAGTAAATCATTAGGTTTAGGTAAGTAAAGTTGTGGTAGATGAGTACATAATCTTTTTAGAGATTGTACTGCTCTAGTTGCATCATTTGTCCATTTCCATGGTGTTTTTTCAGAAATCATTTTTTGCAATAATTCTCTTTCTTTTGCTAAACTTTTTATAAAACCTTTTTCTCCTATGTAAGTAAGACATCCGAGAAATTTTTGTATTTGATTTCTATTTTCTAGCTGATCCGGAAACTGGTGTATTTTTTCAAGTAAATGTTTTTCTGGTTCTATATAACCTCCTTCAACTATTTTCATTCCTAAAAATTCAGTTTCTGTTTTACAAATCTTTGCTTTTTCTTTACTTAAAATAATTCTTTTGTTACCTAATTGTATAAGGACTTTTGCAAGTTCTTTGAAATGTTCTTCTTTTGTCCCTTGTGTAAAAATAATTATATCATCTATGTAAGCAAGACTTAAGATTCTAATCCTTTAAGATTATTATCCATAAATCTTTGATAGATACTTGGTGCTTGTTTTAATCCAAAGGGCATAACATTATATTCATAATGATTTTGAGGTGGACAACTAAATACTGTTAATGGTTTAATTTCTTCATGTACCCGTAACTGCCAATATCCTGATTTAGCATCTAATGTACTATACCATTTTGCCTTTTTAATTCGACTAAAAATATAATCTTGTCTTGGTAACTTATATGCATCTCCTTTAGTAGCTTTATTCATTTCTTTGTAATTTATAACCATTCTACGTTTTCCTCTTTTTAACTCATTATAATTTTCTACGTAGAATGCTGGTGCACTATGTGGACTTGTACTTGATTGTATGATTCCCTTTTCTAACATCTTAGTAGTTTCTTCTTTAAATTCTTTGACATCTCTTTTTGTATATGGTATTCTATTTGGTACATTAACTTCTTTATTAGGATCTATCAATTCTATTTTTATTATCATATTATTCATATTTTTATTTGGATCTAATGGATCTTGACTACATATTTTTTTTCTAAAAATTGATTGACGTGTTCTTCTAAATTTATACTTATTACTTTGTAAATGTGGAATGAAACTTTTCTTAATATCTTCCCCCTTATGAAGGAAGACGTATTATATATTTTTGTAGTAATTAATTTACTGGACTGGGTATCTAGTTGTGGAAATCTAAGACTTATACTATTTAATCGTTGTATAAATGGACTATATAACTTAAGAAAGTTATTTCCAATTATTAATGGTAAACCTGTATTTTGTGTATAAATGCTTGGCACAGGAAATCTTTTTTCCTCTATTAATAATACTAAATTTGTTGCTCTATAATCAATACTTATTGTTTTATTATTTGCAATTCTTACTATAATAGGTTTGTCTAATTTCTTCTAATATTTACTAGGTAATATTGTTTCTTTTGCTAGACATATTGTTGCTCCGGTGTCTATATATGCTAGTAAAAATTTGTTAAATAGTTTTACTTTTATAAACGTACTATTTTTACTCACCTTCTAATTCAGATGTCTCTAAATCACTATCTGTTTCTGATTCTAAATCATATATATCAAAATCTAATAGTTCGCCTTCTTCGTATTCGTCTTCTATAGGTTCATATCCTAAAGAGAATATCATTTTTAACTTCCTTTCCTTATCTGGTATGTTTTTAGGACATTCATTTGCATAGTGTCCTATTTCTTGATATTTTCAACAATTACAATTCTTTTTTTCTTTAGGACAATATTTAGGTTTTCCTAGATATTTTCCTTGTTTTCTAAATTTTCCTTTATATCTTGTTTTCCATGGTTTTCTAAATGTTTTATATCTTCTTGGTTTATATCGTCTATTGAACCTATGATATCTTTTCTTTTTGTATGGGTTATAACAACCAAATTCTTGTGGTACACTTTCTAATTGTTTGCAACATCTTGAATCGATTTTTGTCATTTCATAATGTTCTAATTTTCTTATACAAAGTTCATCTCTATATTCTTTTGCATATTTTTCTAAGATTCCTAGAGTTTTTTCTTCTTTTGTTTCACTAATTTTCTTCTGAATATATTTATTCATTTCATATTTAAGTTTACTTTCAACTATTTCTATTAGTCCCGATCGATCCTTAATTTTATAGAAATTTTCTCTTACTTGACAGAAGAAATTTTCTATGTAACATATATTACAGAGCTTCATATTAGTTAGAAATCTAACTACCTTATCTTTTTGTGTTTCTTTTGATTCTTGTCCTGTAATTCCTAAAAATTCTTTTAACAAATCTTTTGCTAATTCTTTTAAAACTCCTATTTTATATTCTGCTCATGTTTCTGAACCATTTGCTTCAAGATTTAATAAAATTTGGCTATTTTCTAGATAATCAAATAATACTCTAGATGTTTTATATCTTATATAATTAATAAAATCGATTAATGTCATTTCATTTGTCATTGAATCGTTAGTTTGAACTAATAATTTCAATTGATTAGTCCAAATGACTATTAAATCCTCTGCATTAGTCGAGCAATCAATATTTAATATTCCATTAGATAAATTTCTCTCTTTTTCTAAATATGTTGGTGGTATATTTTTCTTAATTTTTTCTTGATGGTAACTATAATCATTTCTGTATATAAAATCTCTAAAACTGCTTTCTACATTATTATATGAAGTAGATGCTTCATTATTATTTGTTCTAGGCCGTTTTGGTGATAATGGTGGTGTTGTATGAGGTTTTTGATCCGTCATATTAAATGTTGGTTCATCTTCATCTTCACTATCTATTCCGTAAATTATCCCTTGTTTATCTTCATCATCTATTTTTGCCATTCTAGTTTCTTCAATATTACATTTTTCTAATAATTGTGCTAATCTTTCTATATCATCCATTAGAACTTGTTGGTGGTTCTATTCGAACTGCTTTAAATAATTTTTTCCGCGTTTTTTCTTTTTGTATTGAATTTTGTAATTCTTTTATCGATTCCTTTATTTCTTCTAATATTTCTAACGTTTCTAATTGAGTTTTCTTAATTATTTCTATAAGTGTTCCTATTTGTTCGGAGACTTTTGGTTGTTCACTCATATTTATATTGTTATTCTTATTTTTGCTTTATTTATTATTTGCAAAAAATTGGGTTTTAATAGTATTTTTAATTGAAATGTTCCTATATTGGTAATAGTCTAAATAGGTTTGCTCATAGTAACTTTTATATATTAAATATTATTAAACATGACACTTGGTGTCTTTTTATTGGTTACTAAGAAGTGAGGGCAATGCCCTCAATGGTAGGATCGAATTTTCTCTTCATGGTGATGTAGGCGATGTCAGTCCTTTGACCTGGGAGATCCGTATGAATATAATTCTTGGAACTGCAAAGGGGTATGGTAACCCAAATTTACTGTGCTACTTGTAACATAAGACATAGTTTTTTCCTCGTCATTTACTACTCGAGCTCGTCTTTGTGGCAGCCTAGCGTATCTACATGAAGGTCTCGAACCAAAGGTTGTTCATCGAGACATCAAGTCCAGCAACATACTCCTTGACCGTCAATGGCATCCTAAGTTGTCTGATTTTGGGCTTGTTAAACTTTTGAATTCGGAGAACTCATACGTGACTACTCGAGTGATGGGTACTTTTGGGTTAGTTAGTTGTTGCTATTAAAGTTTTTTTGTTTTTTTTCGTTTGTGTTTTACTTCTAGTGAAACTAGGGTGCATTAAGTGGATACTGGACTTAACAGTGTTCATCCTTCTGCCAGATATGTTGCTCCTGAATATGCTTCCACGGGTATGCTGAATGAGAAGAGCGACATATATAGCTTCGGAATATTGATTATGAAGATAATTACTGGAAGATGTCCTGTTGATTATAGCCGGCCACAACCAGAGGTTAGTTTAAAGGATAAATTGCTAAAATTAGCCCTTAAATTTGTCGTTTATCTTGATAAACACCCACTTGACATCTTTATTTTCTCGAAAAATTATTCAGAGTGAATGCCAACAAATATCTTAACTATAATTGGACTGGAATTCAACTTTATTATTTGTAACTAATCCTATTTTCATTCAATAACTGCAAAATTCTTGATATTTGTGCCGTCACTGATGATCAGAAACTATTAAATGAAGGTTAATCTAGTTGATTGGCTGAAGATGATGGTTGGGAACCGGAAAACAGAGGAGGTGATAGATCCTAAGTTACCTAAAAGGCTTTCTTCGAAAGCACTGAAACGTCTTATTCTGGTAGCCCGTAGCCCTACGATGTGTTGATCCTGACGCTCAAAAGAGGCCCAAAATGGGTCACATAATACACATGCTGGAGTCAGAGGACCTGCTATTTCGCGATGTATGTGAATACTTATTCACCCTGACTTGATTACCTTATGTTCAACCTCTAAAAATATTATTATATCTTCTAATGTTAATTACAAAACATACGCTTGAGCTCAGATTAATTAATAATGAAAAAAAAAAGAAACACAAATTATAGTTAAAGCTAAATGAAACCCACATATATTTATCTAAAGTTTGTCCAGACATACCCTGTGAGACATATTGAGCAAATACAAATTGTTAGTCAAATTAGTAACTGCTTTTTTTTCCCTCAAATAGAAAAGATAAACTAAATGTAGTCTAGTACATAAATCACAATCTTTCCTGTTACTAAAAGGGCTATTCTAAATTTAGGAACACGCCGAATAGTTGGAGAATCGTCCAGTTCGTTCCGAGAAGACAAAATACAGGGCCCACAGTCAGCTCATAACTGGAACACTGAAGGTATCTCTGATGTTAGTGAAAAAGATAAAGGTAGATACCATAATATGCCAACTCAAAGGAGATAATTGTTGCAATTTGTATTTTGTCGATAAACAAGAATATCCATGCTTAACTTATGTATACCATCTCATCTACAACTCTAATCTTTTTACAATTGTTACCTTGTAAGTTGCCTAATGCATTAGCATATGAAAAAGTGAGTGATTATTCTTTTTACTCTTGTAAAAAATAAAACAAACTATTTTTTTTGCGTTCTTTTTTATATTACGTATTATCTTAATGATCAACGAGTCACAGCCCACTTTTTTGCGTGATTATATTATAGCTAGAATAGATATGGTTTCATACACTATATATGCTTCAACAGTCATCAGACCACGTGTTGTGTGAGTGAAACGGGCATGCTTTACGACACTGCTTGTAGCGTGCTGTTCTTCATGCACATCTCATGGATTGGTACCTAAACATTAACTTGTGAAATCAGAATTTGGAACGGTTAGATTCAGATTTAGGGATACATATATCATCAAGTAGGCGGGCAGCACACCTAATTGCATGACGTTCGATAACTGATGAGCTAATTATGTTTGGAGTTTATAATCATGCTCATGTCATGTTGGTTCAAATGTATATGCATTATGTATTTTGTCATGTCGGAATGTTCCTCCTGGTCTGGTCAATTATGTTCGTGGTACTACTATTCAATGGGGATCTCCTTGGCATACGAATCCCGATGTAAGTTTTTCTTTTATTCTTAATTATTGGTAAATTATGCTGGATGGTATGAAATGTACTTGTAACATTTATATCAGTGTTGGTTTGTAACTTCGGATGACAGGTCGTTTTGGTATGTAATGTTATCGAGCATTGGGTGGTGTGTCGGGTACGGTTATTGGATTGGGACATCGAGCTTCACGACTCCTTTAGCCACCTTTCATCATCGAAGGCGTGTAATGATCCAGAGCTTATGTTGACACCTCTCCGACGACTGCTTCCCACACTACTTCAGCGGTCCAGTTATTTTGGTGCTAGGAATATTCCGCCCAAGTTAGATGCCTTATCGATTAAGAGAATGCAAAGTCAAGTTCAGTTTGTTCAAGATGATACCCATAATTGTGGTGTATATGCTTGCATGTACGTTGAACGCATGCTTGGCGAGGACATTCCCCGAGAGCCGGACATAAGTTTATATAGAAAGAAAATGGCATTAGCAATTTATGCTCATTGTATTCCCGAGTCGAATTAGTGTCATTTTTTGGGGCTTTTGTTGTGTAATGCTTTTGCAAATTGTAGTGTATTTGGTACTTTGACAATTTTGGTCTATTTGGTACTTTGGTCTGTTGCAAATTGTAACTATGTTCTTCTCCGCGACTCGTGGAAAAATTTCGCGAGTCGCGACCGTGAAAATATTGTAGCTCACGTGTTCTGTTCTTCCCCGCAAGTCGCGGCCCTGGGAAGCTTGTGTTGGGTTCGATATACTGTACGGAACAGAGTTTGCAGCGGAATTGAAAATTTTATAAGTATTTATCTCATAAATACTTATTCCGTACATAAGTATAACGAG